TTCACTGAAATCAATCATGTTATTCTTCTTCAAATATTCTGCTGTGTTCTGCGGACCATCAAGATGTGTGAGCACTGTCACAGATTGAAGAAAGAGAAGAAGAAGGTATTTAAGTAAGAGAAGACAGATTATAAGATATGTTATGATGTCTTGAAGAGACACTGTAAGAGAGTAAAATGATAATGATTTTAAGTAACACTTCTGATAGATTTAGACTGAACTAAGTATAGAAATAATACAGATAATGCCGCCTGTAAGAGATTAAAAAAGAAGATAGTGAAGAGTCTTATACAGCAGCAGTGAGATCAGAAGAAGTTCTGAGAATAATTTAAGATTAAGATAAAGAGAGAGAGAGAGAAGAAGAGTGTTACTATAAATAAACAGCAGCAGAAGAAGATTAAGAGAGTATTAAAGTAAGAGATAAAGAAGTCAAAACTGATAAGTTTTTTATTTATTAAGAGATAATAATTTTTGATAATATTTCTATTCTCTAATTGATTAGCAGGAGCTGACAGAGAAGAAGAGAATTAAGACCTTGTTCAGGTCTTAAATGCACTTCATGATTCAGAATATTAAGAAGACAGCTCTGATCTCTGAGTATATCAATCTGTTTATTACTGAAGTGAAACTCAAGACAGCAGACCAGAAAATGCAGGATTTTGAGACACAGATTGACCTGACTGAGAGAGAGCAGCAGAAACCCTTCTCTGAGAAGATAGTAAAGAGAGATTTTAAAATGATTATCATCTTAGATGAGAAGAAGAAGAAGAAGAATAATAATAAGAAGTGAATTATAAAAAATAATAAGAAGAATGAGAATGAGAAGAAAGATAATAAGTAGAAAAAGTTCTTTTCTTTTTATATTAGTTAGTTGTAAGTTCATAATTATTAATAATTGAAATTAATTTTGAGTTTGCAAAAATTATTGTACAAGTTGTAATCAATGTCAGAAATAATATATATATATATATTTAACTATCATGATTCACAAATCACTATAATGTATAAGTATCAATATTTTTTCAATATTGATATTTATAATATTAATATATTTTTAATAATATTATCTGATAATGTAATTTGATAACACTCTCTTTCATAATATTAATATATTTCAAGAATATAATAGAGATTAATCAAGATTATTTATTTACTTTT